AGCTCATAGTTCTCAACTCAAGCATTACACACCTCTATAGCTGCAAAATCACCATGATAGCTGACTTATATATGAGGGCACAACTCAACACAGAACTTGTTATCATGTATAGGATTAGGCTGTCAGCACAGCATTCATACCATGAAGCATACTCTATAGCACACTCCATATTATATACATAGTCCCAGACATTACACATATGCAAGCCTCAGCAGGTGAATCTCAAGTGAGGTGTCCCCACTTTGTCTAAGTCTAGCAGAAATAGATATATATAGTACTTGTGAAGAGGGTTTAAATAAGCTCTGGTGCAGTGGCATAGAGCACTATCTCGGAATAGGTGTCATGTGAAAGTGAGGTTGAGGATTCAAGACTGGCTGAGGACATTGTTGTTATATATTTTTTCCAGCACTTTGAATGCATCTGGGGCTTATAAACAGATGATTTTGAGGTCATAGAAAGCATCTCTACACCAGTCAGAAATCATAGACCCACTCTATCCACTACTATCAACGTCTACTGTAGCACTATTTCCATCTACTATAGTGCTACTTTGCACGAATTTGCATTAATAGTGCAAAATAGTGCAATTATTTTTGGGGACCTCTCGATTTTGCACTATTTTTCACTATCCAACTACTGTGTCTATTAAGAGCTAATTTGTACTAAATAGGTGTAATTTGCAAAGGTGGTTTTTACAGATGCTGCTCATCATATGAAATTGTGAACAGCGTAGGACACACGGACCTCAACTCTGTGGAGCATCCAGTTGGACCAACTGTCGATCAGCGACTCCATAACGAGTCGCAGTGCGTAATGCTCGGGAAATGCCTCGAATTTAGTCTGTTCTATCTGTGGTTCAATGGCTCATGTTTCGGGCATCAACTGAGAACATGCTTACTCTTCATGCTCTTCCTGAACTCGAGTGTTGATGGTGTTGTGCCAGATGATGCTGCCACTTCTCTTTACACAACCGTTTCAAAGCTTATTGTTGTATAGTAGTTGAACCTGTAGTAGTTGAACCTGGAGTGTTCGTGTTGAACAGGCGCTGGTTTACACAGCTTGCCTAACACAGCCGTCACAAGATATAGAACGGCACAGCCGGTTACTGCAATAACCGAGGCTGTACTACTCATGTGGTACACACACAGCTTCGCTGTGTACACACTGCTTCTCTGTGCAACTTTGCATCCTGGGAAGGTACTGTATAGTACTACGTAGCCACAGATGTACAGTAGTATATATAGGGGACCTCTGTACCCCCAATCTACAGTTCAGTTCACTCGAACATCTCCTCTCATCGCTCTCACAAGCCTCTTACAACCAACAACCCTTCTAGGTGAGTTGCAGGCTATCCGCTGTCGTTGCCACCCGTGGGAGAGGCTTTCGCCCCCCGGGTTCAACAGGTTATGAGCCCTGCTCGACGCTGCAGAATCTGCGCTGCTCGTTGCGTGCTGCGATCTGTAAGCTCACAGCTCACCTGGATCTTTTGCCATCGTTGTCAATGTGCAACCGTTGCTTGGATCTGGCGCAATCATACGCTGCCTGCCATGCATGCACTGTGGACTGTTGTGGCGCGCTTCGTCACTGCCTACAGTGCCACAGAGAGGTAACCTATGTCGGCATGATTTCTCTCTGCCTTGACTGCGTTCTTTGAAGGCGTATGGCTGACAAGTCTCCCTTCTGGAACCATACCTCTCTACATCATGTCTGGTGCTCTCTACAGCGCTGTCCCTACCGCCTTCGACGGCCGCAACTACCTCGAGTGGGCGCAGCCAATGAAGTCATACCTTAAGGCTCAAGGCCAGTGGGGTTCAGTTGTCAATACCCAGCCTGCCGACACCAAAGAAGCAAAGGCCTGGCTCGACGCCGACCTCAAGGCCCAAGGCAACATCAGCCTTCGCCTTGCCCCCAGCGTTAACAGTGCTGTGTCATCTCAGACGACTGCCAAGGGGATCTGGGACTACCTCGAGACCACTTACGGCAAGCCTGGCGTGCCGGCTGTCTATCAAGACTTCCGTGCTGCCCTTGCTCTCACCCTTCCAACGTCTCGAGACGAACAAGTTCATCGTTGCCGACCACGTCAAGGGCATGATGCTCATG